CACCAAGATGATCAAGGCTCTGGGAAGCCTGCCGTATGAGGATAGGCTGAGAGAGCTGGGTTTGTTCAGCCTTGAGAAAAGGAGGCTTAGAGGTGATCTCATCACGGTGTACCAGTACTTAAAGGGGAGCTACAAAGAAGATGGAGACTCCCTTTTTACAAGGAGTCACATGGTGAGGACAATGGGTAACGGATTCAAGTTACTCCCAGGGAGATTCCAACTGGACACGAGAGGTAAATTTTTCACAATGAGAACAGGCAATCATTGGAATAATCTCCCCAGGGAAGTGGTTGACTCCGCTATGCTGAACACATTTAAGACTCAGCTGGACATGGTGCTGGGCCATCTCATCTAGATTGTGCTAGAAGGGTTGGACCAAATGCTAGGCACTTGACAGGTACTTTCACTGCTGAAGGAGATAGAGTTCATGTTGGCCATTACAATGATAGCCTGATCAGTTTGCTGTTTCTATGCCTTTGTGTCTGTAAACAGAAGGTCTTGATAGTATGCTTCATTTTATGCTTTGATAGATGTATGACTGATTGTGGTCATGTGTGTTGCCTAAGAATAGTTACTCAAGTCTGAATAATGTTAATTCAAAATACTGTAGGTGCTAAATTGCACATGAATCAAATAGTGTGGTCTTTACATATGCACCTGGATAGCACAACTACAAAACCTTTGCACTTAATAAATTGAACGTGAAAGATGCTTAAAAAAGTGTTGCAGTACCACTACCACAAAGTGGTATTGTTGTAAGGTTTGTTAAATATATTTCAAAGATGCTTAGAAAATCCTAATAAGGAAGTATCTAGAGATAGTTGCCTTTGAAAAAAGCAAAAACCAAAAAAACCACACAGCAAGTAATGAAACATCTTAAACACTTATATTTCTATGGGGTTTTTTGGTGGTATTCTTGACTTGCCACTTTTCACAGGTGGGCACATGTAATATGTGCAATTGCCATCCCAGAAGTCAGATTTGGTAATGTCGCAGAACGTACACCGATAGACACTAGCAGAATACCTTTGCAAAGATTAAAATTGGTGAGTACTCTATTCATATATGCTTTGTACATTCTTTGCTATTAAGGTGTTTGAATATTTGAAATGTATTAAAAGTCTAACTTGTGATGATTATTGCCAGGTACAGAGCAGTAAACTATGTTTAAGGTAAGGAATAAATAACCAGGGTTTTATCAAGATGGGCTTTTTGACATATAATGGCAATTCATTAATACTATTAACAGCCTTTGGTATTTTATTAAAAGAAGTTCGAACCTGCCCTCCCCCAAAAGAAGAATAATGAATTTGACCAGTGTCAAATGCGAAAGTTTCAGTTTTGGAACTCTGTTGGTGATGAAGGTTTTGAAATCCAAACAGAAAATCACACAGCACATGTTTGTGAATGTACTTTTTTTAATGTATTTTTGCCTCAAGGAACTATGTATGAAGGTAAAATGATGTATGATCTGTTTGTTACATGGTATCTCTACCATCTGGACATTGAAAACTGCGCACAAAACAGTTCACACATTATATTGGATGAAAAAAATCCTGTTTCCTGAGGAATTTCAAAAGCTGGTGGAAAACATAAATAAAAGCGTATCAGCTACTAACAGTTGCACCCTGTGTTACATCTAGAATAACAGTGTCATTCAAGAAGGTTGATGTACACAAGCAGAAGATATGCATAAGTGCAATATAAGAATATTTTCCTTGCTGTGTTACATGAGAATTATTTAGTTTGTCAGTGGGTGCATCACTGTGATGTCATCCGATAGAAAGAAAGTGATTAGTGGCCCATTCAAAATCTTAGGGAAGAGATACCATCAGTTTTCTGGATCTGCCCCATACTATTTCCAAAGTGGTTCTTGGTCTACCTGACCTTGTACTTGCTCATTTTGAACTATTAATCTTTTCATTTAATTTTCATTTAATTTAATTTTGTTCAATTTCATTTCATTCATTATTTTTTGTGTTTTCTAGCTGTATTTCTAAATGTGGAGATGCACCTTTGAGTGGTTTAAATTGATAGCCCGTCCTTCAAATGGTAACCCATTCTAAATTTTTGTTCAAAATTTAAAATTTTTTTTCACATATCCTTTTAAGAACAACGTAAAACACATTTCTAAAGAGTATATATAACTTCTTATAAAAATTTTTCTTCCCAATCTGTAAAACCAGTAGAAGCACTGAGAATTAATGTAATATGTTCATTCTTATTTTTTGAAGATCTTAAATAGTCACAGACATGTCTGGTTGGAGATTATTAATCCAGGCATTGAAAACATGGAAATTTTTAATTTAACAGATGTTGAAATTCTTTCTCTGGGCTGTCCATGACTTGAACTGTATAAGAGTGACAGGAGCCTTTTGGAGAAGGATTGAATTAATTTTAAGTTATTGATTATGAAGGTACGGAGCGAAACTTTGTGAAGTTACATGATTTACAATTCCTAGGTCATTTCTGCTGAATATGAAGCAATTATGTTAATCAGTTATTTATAACTGAGAGCTTTTTCTTCTATTCTTTCCTTCAGTTGATAGAAGATTGCTTATAGTCCTTAGTTCTTTTTCGGTTCTTGAAGCTTCCTTCAATGTAAAATGACACTGAAGCACTACAGATGGTATTAAGCTGTATATATCCTTTTGGTCTCCTGTGAGTCCCTGAATGTTTAGAAATATAGTGCTTGCTTTCTTTAACACTGTTTTTTAAAGTAAAAGAGTTTGTGTATTTCAGTGGAATGAATGTTGTGATGAAGGAACTCAGCTGAATACAATAAAAATGAGAGGCAGGGTACTTTATAACAGCCGTAAATGTAATATTGCTGCAGGTAGTGGACAGCCTTACTGTGAAGGAAGGAAGCACTATAATCCTGGCTTGGCTCATTAAATGTTACTTTTCCAAGACTTAGTTTCTGACATTGAATTTATAATGAAATAGCTAGGCTTGTACTAATTTAAGGGAAGTGGGCAGTTTGACCATTTCAAAAGGCTCTGTAATGATTTAATGTCAATAGACTGATAAAAGGCTGCCCCTTGGGTAAAGGAGCAGAGAGAAAAATCGGCTCTAAAACCACCAGCAGTCTGTCTGCTTCTAAATTTTGGCTTTTGTTGCAAATAAGTTGCTGTGTCTGATGGTTTTACTCTGCTGTGTTTCACAGTGAATACCCTAGCTAAGTGTCCTGAATAACATTGTAGTATTCTGTATTTAAAAAAAAAAATACTTAAAAAAAAAGATATTAGATTGAATTGCATGGATACTTCATATTTTCTCTAAAGCCTGTGTATTAGATACTTTTTGTAAATTATTTCTCTTGTTTCCTGAAACATGGGGTTCCTGCTTCTCTAAAGAGGTTTCTGTCAATAACCTTCTGAATATATGGCACATCATGCTCATATCAAATGTGATACTTATGTTTGTGTTCACTTCCTGACTGTTGATGCTACAAAATAACAATTATGCTCTCATACCCACTGACACTGGGTTCTTTACCATTGAGGAACCCCAGGAATTATATCCAAATTAATTCTGTTTCTTTCTCTAGGAATTCCTGTCCCTTCTTCTCCCCACTTGGCCCCACTTCCATTCTTGTCTTTCATTCTTCTCCATTATCGTATACTCTATGCTTCAGAGTAGACAGCTGATACCATCTGTCTTGCTGTTAACTTCTGTAAAAGGATACTGAGTGATTCACACTTTGACGTTAGCTCTGGGAATCTGTGAGCAATTGATTCGGACCAGTTTTCCCCTTTGAAATTGTAGGGATTGCCAATACTGCTCTTCAGCAGCCAATTCCTGCTTCACAGCTATCCTATTTGTTAGGTTAAGGGTATCTTTGTTCATCACTCTCCATCATTCAAAGCCAGAGAGTGTTCATTGTATAAGCAAAGGCAAGTTTTATACATTGTTTGTTGATATTGAGCCTTCATAAGCAATAAATTTTTTAAAAATATATTTTTGGCCTATGTTTATAATGCTCCTGATGTTAAAGCTTGGGATAGCTAATAAATGTGGGCTGTCCTACTATGCCATCTCTCCTTTACAAAATTTGGGATGTGTTTTGTTGAATCTTTTTAAATGAGCAGAAAACAATAGAAAACAAATATAAAAGGATAGATTACATTCTAGCATGCAGCCATACCAGAACTAGATCTTACAATATAGGAGCAAATAGTTCTAGTTGTTTTAAACAGTTCTCTTTCCATACTCTTCTCTCCCTTTCTCCCTCCTCTCCTTCTTTCCTCTTTCCCCCCCTTCACGTGTCTCTCTCTGAAATAGTAAGAAACCCAAATAAGCAGAACATCTACTGTTTGCAGAGATCCGTGGAGGCTGAGCTGACATTTTCTTTAGTGTAGCATCTACAAAGGAATATCAAAGGAAATAAAAAGTCAATGTTTTATTTTTGACAAATAACATCTGTGCAAACATGAACATATTGCTAGGCTGTTTTTTATTGCTTAGCTAGTATGTATACTGATTGCAGTTAAATAGTTTTAATTCACTAGACATTTTGGGTTGGAATCAGTGTGTTTCCTGTCAATCTTTCCATTATTAAATATTCAGCATATATAATTTCTTCCAGAGTAAAAATCAATATTTGTATTATGCTTACAGTAGCTTATAACTTTAAAACTGTTCTATGCAACTGTTTCATGTTTGCAAGTTGGCGGGTTTTTATAGAAAATGTTTTCATATTTCCCTAGCTTTTTTTAATGAGTTACGTGCCATATTCCATCGTTTTACATGACAGTGAAATGTTCATTAAAAATTAATTCTCTCGAAAATTATTCCTTAATGCTAGTGGATGAAAACAGTCTAAATCGATACTAATAGAAGATTTTGGTGCTTTGTCTTTCGTAGGGGAACATAAAAGAAAAGAATGTGATACATTCTGTGTTGAAATAAAACAGGTTGTATCATCACTTAGATTTTAGCAGTGTACACCCATGATGTCGATGGACTCTAGTTGACTTTTCATGTGAAAGCAAAAGGCCTCCCAGGCAACCTCTGTGTAGAGAGTATCCCACAAAGACACTATAACCTGTAGTTTCTCTACTTTACCTCTCTGTGACTATACTTTTTCTCTTTTTTTGAAACTTACGTGAATGGGAAAATGAGATTGTCTTGGTCTGTTTTTTCAGAGGGTCAGGCTTTCTTCCTTCATTTTAGATTCAGCCTGGATGGTCACATCCATCAGACACTTTGAGTTCCAATAGCCATATGGAATGACAATTTGTGATTATGCAGCTACAAAACAAATATGTTGAATTCAGATGTTTATGCACAGGTTCTAAAATTAAATGTCTGGAGGGATATACCTTACCATATCACACATTTTAAAACAATATTTTACATAAACTACAGTATGCTAGCTGCTTTGCAGACACTTAGTTCAGATGGTCTCTGTTCCAGGGCTCTCCAAGTTTAACAGCAGACATATGAGCAAGCGTGAAAAGACAGGAAATACACAAATGCCAACTTAAATACTGTTTAATCACAGTGCAAATGTTAGGAGCAGATAAAAGGGAGGCAAAGTTGGTGAGAAGTGATGGTATGGAGGGGGACCAAACGAAATTTGTCTAAAAGTATATGCAGAGTTTCAGCTGGTGACAATTTGGAACGAGTGTGTGATTTGGAGGAGAGCTTATGCCATGAGTGAGTGTGGTGCCAGCTTCCATCCTGACACAGCTTAACAGCATCTAACAGTTTACCCAAAGCAGAGAAAGCTTAAGTTTCTAGCTGAGTTTATCTTTATTTATTTAATTTATTTATTTTATTTTTCCCTTGTTTCGTTTGTCCTTAAGTCTCCAAGGGAAGCTTGGGTGTAAACTCCTGCTTTTGAAAACCTGTTTTACTTGACTACTTCTATGTATGAGGCTTTGTGTCGTAGAAAAGGGGCTGTGGATTCCTGCATGTGTCAAGGTCAATGATAAAACTCCATTTTACTTTGGGAAGGGAAAAGCTTTTCCCCAAGTGCCTAGATAGACTCTGCTTTCAAAAGAATGCTAATTACTCAGCTCTCATTATGAACTATAGCTGC